CACAATTTTGGTGGAAAATGGACAATCCCGTGTGATTTCTTCAGTTGAGGAATGCACAACGATTTTTTGAATGGCTGTAAATATGCTACTTACAAAATTGATGTCGAAAAATGTCCATCCCAAGAACGTGAGGAAATTGGCAACAGACCACAACCATAACTCCAGACTTTGCATCATTCTCCACACTTCACACCAATCGTGCTTGGTGTTTGAACCCTCGTGGGACACGATGGCGTCATCTAGCGGCTCAATCCTTTCCTTTCCCTGGTTCTCCTGTTCACAACTCTCGTCGGCCCGTTCCCATTCCCGATCCCGTTCCCGTACGTTTTGCATATCGTGTTCATTCTGTTCCGTGTCCTCTGATCTACTTTGCCGCGGCAAGATGTTCTCTGTAGTCGGGGGATCGGTCAGAAGCAATCCGTCGGCGACGCCCACCACGAATATCCCTCCGCTGAGAACTCTCAGTGCATTGCGCCACCCATAGTTAGTTATAAGTACTGTCAGTAATGGGCTGAAGGTGAGCAAACCTGCACGTTGGAAGAAACCAAATAAAATTCACTTTCTTAAAAAAAGATGTACCTTCTCCCAATGATTTGTGATATTTGAAAATCCATACCCAGTTTTATTTGATAATTCCCCCCCCCAAAAAAAAACCCCACAAGTGTGGCATCTTCTTCTTCATTAATTTTTTTTTTATAATCATTGCATATTTAAATCGAATACTAAAGTCAAATTTGATTGTACACAAGCGGATTTGTCAAAATATATATAAAAAATGTTCAATTCCATCCACATACCGCCCGTGGATCCCAACAAAGCGATTGCACTCGCACGGGCAAAGTTGCCTTTCGCAAACCATTCCAGCAACAGTTGAAGCGATGAATGAAGCGTGAGATTGGCGCCAACACCCGATAGGACTCCGTACGTTATGAAGGCGTAGCCTAGGGCCGGTACGAATGACGTCGTCAACAGTCCTGTACAGTACAACACGAGCCCAATCAGCGTGACTGCCCTCTTGCTTAGCCTCTGCTCGAGCAGAACGGTGACGGGACTGAAGAGTCGGGCTAAGGCGGCCGATAAAGACCCCAACCAACCTGTCAATAGCAATTATGTTGCACACAAAATGTATACAAAAGAATTTGCATAATTAAAGAAGATACATGAACATACGACTCCAAGACATATCGTCGTCCCAAATTAGATGCCATATTGGTCACTAAAATACTTGACTTTTTTTCTTTTTCAATTCAGCTCTAAAGAAAATTAACGCATATCAATTATATGTCAGTTTCTAAAGTAAGACCCTTTTACACAGGGCTGCGACCTTTGTACCAGCTATGAACGACCAAAATGGCCAGGACGCTCAATGGTCGCATAAACCCCCAAAAAATCCTGTTTCTATGTAACTGCTTCAGCGATCTTTGTGCCTCCATTGAACCACCAAAACTGCAATTTTCGGGCATGTTCATGTCGAGCTACGAGCGACCTGTGCGTCCACTTAGCCACTTGCCTGCCTGCCTTGTGCTTCCCCTGTGCAACCTACGGAAACCAACGCCGAAATGGAGGCACATCGGCCACCACAGTCATCGTTCAATGCACGCTATTGGTCGGCCAAAGGAGGCACAAGGGAGGCAGAAGCATATCGCCCAGATTGATGGTGAAATTTGCAACAGAACGGATCTATTACGTGGCGACCATTAGCCGACCATTGTGCATCCATCCAAATTTTCAAACATTTACGGCGACCATGGCAGCCATGGCGATGTCTGAACATCCTGTGTACCACCTTTGAACGACCTAGGCAACCATTCGCCTCCTTTGAGCCTCCAACGGCGACCTGGCTAGTTTTATGGTCGCACAAGGGAGGCCTAAAAGTCGCAACCCTGTGTAAAGGGGGTCTAAGAGTATTCCAGAGGCTGACACAAAATCAAATTTGTTTGACACCTTTTTCAATACTAAGACCGAACCTAAATACTTTATCATCAAGCCTGATGGGTCATTTCGTCAGAACAAAACGCTCTTAAAGAGAGAGAGGGATTTAACAACGGTCTCTGCAGAGACCGTTTTAAAGTTTGTGTGCTTTGCTGCTTGGATGTTAAAAGAAAACAAAATTGGATTTGTACCTGTTATTGCCGCAGCGGACTCGAATTCGCCCTGAAGACTCAAATACAATATGCTGAAATTGAACATTGGTCCAAGAACGAGGAAATACAGCGTGAATGTTGCCAGCGTGATCACCCAATGCCACCGTCGGAGACAGGTTTGTATGATGGCCATTGCTGCTTTCGCGTCAGTCGTCAGATGTTGTCTCTTCGTGGTAGTGCAAAAGACGGCCCTTATAGTTCAGGTTCATTGAACACCAACGAGCACAGCGCGGCATTCATAGCCCTCATTTTATATAGCAAGTTGTGTGTCTCTATAACTTGTATAGTCGCACAAAAACCATACAATCACGGTAACCTCACTGCGAGGTCAAACTTCGTGTGCGAAAAACATATATTATACTTTAAGAGTTCAAGGTAAATTATTGCTGGCATTTTCTCGTTGTATTTATCGCATATACATGTGGCCTCAACTAAAGCCGAACATTTAATGCAAATGTTCATTTCTCCATTCAAGGGAACAACTTTAATTGTGATCATCTATAAACTTCAAAAACAAGTCCTAATGCTTTTAAGACTGTTAGATTTAAGAACTGTAATTATGAAAAGAAAAATATTAGAGCGATGACTAGACTTTTAACTTTCAGAAAAAGCGCTTCTAGAGTAAAGTTTTTAGGTGATTAAAATGGTTAGCCGATAGTGTTAATAATTTGGGGCAGTGAGAGAATAAAGGGATGAGTGGGGGAGAAACACTAAGCTAGAAGAACACCCATTTGTTAAAAATATAACAACAAAAAAGTGGAGATTTGTTGGACCAGGCCCCCCATAGAACTGCGCCAGAAATAATTTAGAACTATGCTAGTTGTAGAGATTTGTCTCAGGGAAAACAAATAATGATTATTAGTTTCCACGTAATATTGCACAAAATTTGAAAAAAAAGTGGGAAGTTATAGCGTGGATTAAACCGTCACTCGTAACGGCCACTGGTAAAAAAGGGCACTTTTTTAACCCCCAAATGCACTTAAAATAACCCCTCAAAACAAGGGCACTTGTTAAACAAAAAAGAGGGGGGAGGGTACTCATTGGATATATTGGTGGGGGGGGGGGCACTGGTGAAAAAGGGGGAACTTGAATGGTAAAAGGCAGTCTTTACAAAGGAAGCCCTCGCTGGCTACGCCTCTGACACGTGTTGTGAGATTGGGTTTTCGGCCTAGCTCGCCTCATTATTAGTCTGTGGAATATTCCCTTGCAAGGGTCTATGATATGCAAGCAGATTCGGTGATTTATGTAACTTGACTGTGTCTTGAACTCGAGATTCTGACCATTCAGCGGGCGCCTTTGATATCGAGTCTTCTGTGACCCATTGGACGACACCTAATCAAAGGAGTTCTAGCACCCCAGTTACTAGTCTATGGGATACCCCCTTGCACAGCAAGGGTCTATGATATGCGAGCAGATTCGGCGATTAATTATGCAAAACAAGACTGCGTCTTGGCCTCAAGATTCTGACCATTTAGCGGGTATAACCCGCTGTAGTATTACAAAAACATAGCAGTCAAATTAACCAATCAACAGCTTAATCCACGTTTCTAATCAAAATGACGTCACAACTTTACAGTCAACTTCGATTGGCTGGCGCTTGGGGTCGCTTAAGCATTTGCTTGATCATATTAATGTATCACACGTTGATTACGGAGAGGGCTCCATTGAAAAACGGAAGATACTCAGACTATTCATTTATCGGTACCATTATAAATGGTCCGTCCACGCGAGACGTATGTATGCAGCTCGGAAAAAAAGTCGCCTAATCACCATTTTGCGTTGCTATTTCATCGGCAATTGTACATCTCAAATCAAAACATTAAAATGTATTACGTAAGTCTCGATGAAATTATCTCAATAAATGTTGACTCCGAACAAAATAAAAGTTAAAACGCTCCCCCCCCCCCTGCTGAAAGCCATAAGCACAACCAAAGCCGCAGGGAACATCTGCTACAAGCCCATTTTTTTAAAATGATGTCAAGGTAGGGCTCCACTGTACTGTAACCGGTCATTTCGGCACCTTGTCAACTCGGCACCCACCAACTCGGCACCAAAACTGTTAAATAAATATGCATTAGCAAGTGACCTACGTGCGTAGGGGGTAGTAATTGACCACCCCCCAACCCCCGACCCCCTCAGATCTCGGCCATCGAGTGACGAACAATTATGAAACTCGGTGAATGCATAGAACCATTTAACATGAACATACCCAAGAAATTTCATGACTACAGGTTAAAGGGTTTTGGAATTATGGCTAATTAATTATTCATATGCACCAATGGTAATTCTGCTTTGTGTACATTATGGGGAGATTCAGTTTTTGCGGCGCGTATAGCGCCGAAATTATTTCCGCTACGCGCTTACCCATGCTCGGAATTTATGTTTTTGGTATCAAAAGATGCGCAAGACTCGAGGCTTAAAAGTCAGGAAAGCTTGGGTCGGGGCATTTTTTTGCAAAGGTATCGCGGGAAAAATTGAACGGGTGGGGGGGGGGGGTGCGGATTCCACCCTCTGGCCCTTTGAGGGTTAAGGTCGGTGAAATACGTACTCTTCAAAGTGCGCTAGAAGCCTGCCTGATGTTCATAAGCTGTCGTGCTTTCACAATTTTATAGTGGTCTTTTTAATGACACTGTACGGCAAACATTATCTGTGAAGCCTATATTCACAGAAGCCAGTACAACTAAAACCAACAGTATCGAAATCGATGCGTGGCAAGATGAGAAACAGTAGTCAATTTTTGTCTGGCCTAAAGTTTGTTGGTCCCATTAACGATCCAAGATAACTGAGGTGGCCACTCAATATAACGCTGACCTTAAAATCAGACACTGCCGCTTAGCGATCAATTTAGGCGCATACCCATACCATGTTTGATAGGTTCAGTTAGATATGGCCGTCTCAAAAGCTGGAGTTTTATCCTTCATCCTGCCGGTCTTCCTGGCAGGTTTCGTCACCCGTCCTCCGATCATTGAAGATTCAGCTAAGCAGCTCGCTAATCACGTGCAGAATGCCAACATTTCAGCTGAGGTTGTTTCTGACAAAATCAACCAAGTCGTCCACAGTTCTGGCTTCAAGTTTCTTCTTGTCTACGGACTTGCTGCCGTGCTGACTTACTTGGCTGTTCAGCTGTACAAGGCGGTGACTGAGCCCTTGGCACTCTACTGCGATGAGACCAAATATACGTATTTAGTGGACGGCCCAGCCGACGGCAAATCGGCTGAGGAACGAGTGAGGGATTTGAAGAGATGTCGGAAGGTCGGAGACGTTCCCCCTGTCTACCCGAATGGCTGGATGTCTATCCTGATGTTGTCTGAATTGAAGAAGAAGGAGCACATATTCGTTGCCGTTGCTGGTAGGCCAACTGAAAAACTAACCTAAGTTGAAATAAATGAATTATATGGAGACTCACCCCTCGCAAACCAAATGATTCCACAACGTCAAGCAAGGTATACACTTGTCATTATTATTGGCCATTTAAGTACCGGCTCCCTCTCATTTTCTAGGTAAGAACTTGGTGGTATTCCGAGGAGAAAGTGGGCGGCCCTACGTCGTTGACGCCTACTGTGCTCATCTAGGCGCCAATCTGGCCATAGGTGGCTCAGTACACGGTGAATGTATCGAATGTCCCTTCCATGGCTGGAGATACCGGGGAGAAGACGGCAAGTGCGTCCATAATGGATACGCGGAAAAAGGTGTATATTAACAAAGCTTTTTAGCATGAAATTTACCAATGCAAACATTGTGCGAAGTATCCAATGCCAACTTTCTTTTAACTTAGGGGTTCACTTAAAGGGTAATCACCCAACACACTGAGATTTGTTTATTTTTTTTTATTGCCGGAACATAATCAAACTTATCTAATACATAGAACGGGTCAAATGGGAAAATATGGGAATTTGGCTACATAAAGCGGAAAAAAATCGCGGAAAAGGGGACTCATTTTCTTCCAGCTAATCATGGTAACTCATACGGCTGTGCTTTTCTCGGGATGTCAATTTCCAGTTGGGGGGGGGGGCACCTGGGGCGTCAACTTTTTATGGGGGACTGAGCCCCCCCCCCCCCCCGCCAACGGCCCCCCGTAGCTTCGTTGCTGCTTTACATTCCTTCGGCTCGGTCACGTTGTAGCCTCGTCCTTCGCACGGCAGCTTCTCAGCTGCGAGTAAGGACGTTTAACCCTTACCCCACCCAAAACATTGATGAATACCCTTTAAAAATTATGAACGAAAAGTTCCAAAGGAAAACAGTGAAAAAAAGCATCATTCTCATTGCAGTAAAAAAGCTACTTGATTAATTTCTCATTACAAAACCAAATCTGGCAGTAAATATAATATTTTAATCTTAACTCAGTTAGTTTCTTAAAATCTCATTTGAAATTGAATGCATGTGTGTAAATCTCTGGTACTGACACCGAACTGCGCAGAGCTTCAAAATGGCATTCTGTAAACATGGCTTTAGTAATACTTGCATAACCATTGGGAGCATGGTTTAATTTCAGTGATTTTTTTTCACATGAGTTCTTATGTTCTTTTAATACATAATCTCATCGGTATATCAACCTTGATTGCTTGTGTACCATGTACCGCCTTATCCAAAGGCGCTTGTGACCGGTAATCCCTTTCACGAAAACTTGTTCAGGAAACGCAGTTTAATATAGTTCACAAAACACTGAATGCTCAAGGGCGTATATAGCAAGGTCATTTTGATTGGGGGTTGGATGTTAAAAGGGCACTCGCTATATCATCCGTCCTGAAAGGAAGACAGGGTTTTCTCACTGATATCAGACATTTTCCATGTTAGCAAATGTGCTAACTTTAGTGTTCCAAGACAATATCGCCGTCTGATTGTAGTCTAGGCACCAGTTGTTAAAGAGGAGCCTAACGGCAGCGGTCGGACTATCCAACGATAGCACAAGGAAACTGGTTACCATGTCTTTGGATAGAGTCGGGTGGAGCGAGCGAAGTCGAGAGGCCTCGCTCCTGTGACAAAACTTCCAAAACTTAAAACGTAATTTCCATTTAGATTTTCGTAAAGTAAATATCATGTTTCCCTTTCCCTGACAGGAGGGCTTTCGTTGGTCAGGCCCACTTTACCGACGTCAGCTGGGAGCCACACCCTACCGACAAGCATGTGGCTGTACTTCGTATGTCCACCAAACCCCCGTATTTTTTTAATCTGCTCAACCTGCTGGCAAACACCTTCCATATCGAGCAGGTATGAGTAGAGAACTTTCCCACATCAGGCTCATTGTAAAACCAATCCTGATGTTCGGAATATAACTTTATGAAAAAAAGTATAAAAAGGGGGATACTAGGACCTGTAAGCTGCTGTATAATATAAGCCAAATGTCGACATCCACGTAAGATGAATCGATAGAAACAAGGACGAATAAAATATGCCATATTCGTGAATTAAACTGAACCCAAAATGTTATCCGTTGGTGTACATATTAATATTTATATTGAAGCTTGCGGAGCGAACCGTGTAATTATTATACAGGGTAATTAATCGGAAACAGGCATAAAATGCTGTTTCGCATATTGATTGATCATGACAGATAGGACCCTGCTTCGCCCATTTCCACATGGACAGTCCCCTGCTGGGTGAGCTACAATTGGTCTTAACCGTCACTCCTGTTGGACCCATGCGACAGAGGATTGTGACCACTGGGTATACCCGGAGAGGACCCATCTCATTCTACATTGGCAAGAAGACCTTGTATGAACAGTACTACCAGGTTAGAATTCCGCCTTCCCCTCCCAATTAACCGCGCCTATCGCCACTCCTCCTCCTCAGCCATGTCAGCCCGTACTGTCATTCACTTCCTCTAGGCCTGCTGTCGTGTCTGCCCTTCCACTTGATCACCATAGTACACACGCAGGTCATCACTGCGTCTCATTTTAGCGAGAAGATCATTGGCCCATTGGTGTATGTGTTCTTTTAGGACCAGCATTGTGGAGCCACATTGATCCCCTCTCGCTTCTTGTTGTACAAGTCAAATGAATCAGGAGCCGCAGAGTAAAAAACAAATGATGAAATCAACCTAGGATATACAGGGTGATTAAAAGAAAAGAAACCCAAATGTCGGGACCATTTTTGTAGTGAAGTGCTGCATGTAGCACTTTCAAAATCTAGGGTATGAAAGCCAAATTCATAAGCTTCCGTTTAGTACAAGAATCAATCAAATCACTTATGTACTTTTTAAGTTACGGAGTTTTAAACACAATCGCCGTTTTAAGGTTCTGTCCACGGATCACAAACAAGTTCAGTGTTCTCTCAGCAACACGAAAACAAATAAAGGATGTGTGTGAATTGGCGTTTTGCTGAAAGAACACACACCTTTTGTGTGATCCGTGGCCAGAACTTTAAAACGGTGGTTGCGTTTAAAACTCCGTAACTTGAAAAGTACATGTGATTTGAATGATTCTTGTACTAAAAGAAAGCTTATGAACGGGGCTTTCATATCCTTGATTTTGAAAGTACTACATGCAGAACTTCAGTTAAACAATTGTCCCGACATTTGGGTTTCGATTTTTTGACTCACCCTGTACTCCAACAAGTTCCCAGCATAAATTGAATCAGATACATGTACATGCATTATTAAGACTAATTAAACATGGTCCTGTCCGGACCTCATAGCGAACGGGCTACCCTCCTACCTCTACACCGGCCTGCTTCATCCTGCTGCCTGTTAATCTGCCCAAACAAGCCTTGCTTCACCATCCCCACTACATGTTCGCCAGTCGGGATGCCTTCCCCATCATATAGACTGCCTGCCTCGAAATTAATGATAATATGATTACCTCTGCTAGATTTGGGGTGACCTTCCGGTGTGGGCCAACAAGAAGTACGTTCGTAACCCCCCGTTTGTGAAGGAGGATCATCTGATAGCGAAACATCGCCGATTCTTCTCCCAGTTCTACTCTGAGAACAGCCCCAAGTACGACCCGAAAGAGGAATCTATGGATTGGTAAAATTACCGTCTAAGGTTAAAAAGAGAGTACATGTGTATCTCAAAGCTGTCACTTTTAATATTTTGGCTTGGCGATCTACGAGAAAAGGCTAAAGACTAGAATTTTGCGCTTTCTTTTGTAATTCATATGCAAAGAACATTCATGTAATTGCTGTAATAAAAGGAATTATTTAAGTGTTGTTATTGTCATACGATTTGTTACGTTAACGTATAATTGCTTCATTATAATGTGCTATACGCTTTAGAAAGCAACCACATAATTAATGTTTTACAAACAAGGATGACGAGGCGTTGAGTTAAAATAGATATATCTTTTTTAGAATGTAATTACTGTTTCGCTCGGAAACCAAAACGAATTGGTCTAGATGAGCGTAGATAAACATTAAAAACGTTTGACTCAATTTTAAAGGGAAGGGGCCGGGAATGTCTAAAACAAATATTTAGGGGAATATTTACCTGAATACCATTTTGAAACGTTTTGAAACGATTTTATTGCTGTATTTTTGTGAACCCTACCCACAAGTATGACAGAATTGAATTGAAGAAAATAATTTGTTTGAACGTACTCCCGAAATTTCCTGTAATCGTAGAAAAATTCCCAGTTTCGCCCGAGGGCTAATTCATTCAAAACTTTTTGATAACTTACTTTGTTTTCTGATAAACACGTTGTGTGACATGAATAAATAATCCACCTGTTGAAATTGAAGTTAAGATGCACTTTGATGTGACAACTGAAGGTTACAATTTTCGAATATCACTTCACTTCGTCGACGTTTCTGGGAATCGCCGAAAGAGTGCAGTAGTTACAACCTCGATCCAGCTCTTCGTGAGAGGCATCATATAGGAAATAACGTTCTTGTACCTTCAGGGGGGTGAGGTGGGCATGCGCAAATACAAAACACTGCGACGACCATGAATTTTACGACGGATTATGTTATCATTTACTCAATTGTTGCAGTTCGATGGTCCAAAAGACAAGGGATCCTATTAAAAATCGTTTAATGTACCTGGAAACTTGCACAATTGTTTTGAGCATTGTAGCCTATTTGATCCCTCCAAATCATAAGGGAAAATCGTGTGTACAGAGAAACAAATAATGAGTATCATCAGCATGCTTTTTTATTAACAAAAACGTGTTAATATTTTCATCATCTGCTTGCTCTTTATATAGTTTGCTTTTAGTAGCCTATACTTCTATTTGTACTGTAAACAGGTTCTTATCGATAATTTAGGTACAACGTTGTGAGTAGCGGCGTAGACGGTGGCGTGGCATGGGGGCACGCTCCCTCTAAACAATCTGGAAATGTGTATCACCATGGTTAATGGTTTAACAGAAAGTGGGCGCCCCCACATAACATCCAGTCCCCTACCCCCACTCCCCGTGTGAGAATTACCCTGGCTACGCCGCTGGCTTTGAGTTTACACTTGAAATATTTCGACAGATTTTCGCCATTCTCTGCCAGATCATTATTATACGTAGTTGTGTTTTGTACAAGGCATGCTGCGAATAAAACTGACAAAAGAGGGCTGAATTAGATCACAACAAAATAACTCCTCATGTAAAGGTATCATTAGCCGTTATAGTAAATCAACTTAGCGGATATCCTTAACAGATGACATGTTGCAGTTTAGGTCGTGTCTATGATGTTGTTTGCGTTACAACTAAGCATTCGTTACAAGCGTTTTTTAATAAAACAACTTCATTTCCTGCTACAAATTTTGTCATAATTTTAACATCTTTCAAATAGACCTTTTGCAACCGCTTGAACGTTTTGGTAACTTTTAAATAATTTTACGATGCTTAATAATTTTACGATGCTTAAATCGCTACAGTGTGATATTCCTCGACGAGCAAGTTATTGTGAAGATACACCTTGCCCAACCTATTGCATATCCTTAGTCTACATGAAATAAAAAATAATTCGAATAAATCGTATTTAGATAGTGTACGTCTTGTTTGATTTGCTTTATTTCTTTTTTAAAGACGTGAACTATATTAAGTGACGGCGCTTATATTGTTTTCGCTGATTACACGCTATAATATGGCGTGCAGGAGAAGTAGCTATTGATCTTGTCAAAAAGGGGCTAAGGTTTCGTTCAGGTTATGAAAGAGATGAACAGTGTTTAATGAGCACTGCAACAATTGGTCCTCATGTTATACAGCAAGTTGTTGGTTTCCATAAGTCGTATAGTAGCACCTAAATCACCCCAAAAAGGTGAGAGCTGATTGCATGGTCAAACACAACTGAATATCAAATCGAGGACTGTCCCTTCAGTTTTGGTCAAGGCCTCAACCTCGGAAGAAATTGCCCATAATATAGCCTGAGACCCATATTTACATGCCAGTGAAAAGAAAAGAAGTAGACCCTACTCTACACCCACGAATTGCATGAATCAGTTTCGGAGACAATAACTTTTTTTCTGCTGTCAAAGTTAGCCACATGCCACGTCAGTCAGGAAACTGCCCCCCTCCCCCTCGACTTTTTCCGCGATAGCCTTTAACAATTTTTTTTTCGCGACCCGAGCTGTTATGACTTTTTAGCCTCGAGCCTTGCGCATCTTTTGACACCATATAAAAATCGGACCAGGGGTTGTCGCGCAGCGAAAATTTTTCCTGCGCTACGCACCGTGAAAACTGAATTTTCCCATATACGTCGTGTACACGGACCAGAATTACCATTCGTACATATGAATAATTAATTAGCCATAATTCCAAAAACCCTTTGACCTATAGTCATGATCTTGGGTATGTTCATGAAGAGTTGTTCTATGCATGTACCGAGTTTCAAAATTGTTCGTCACTCAATGGCCGAGATCTTACGGGGCCGCCCCCCCCCCCCGGCTGAGAGATGGTCAAAATAACCCGGCCCTTATAGGGTTAACGGAGTAAATATCAGGCCACGCTCGAACTTTTTACTTACGCAATATACCAGAGCCATTAATCAGAGCGACAAGGTGAAGTGCTTTTCATTGAATAGTATACAAATAATGTTTATGAGTGCAATGGTGAGAATATTTTCATGAGTTGAAAGATTGAATTTTCCATTCAACGAAGCGAAGCCGAGTTGAATGGAACATTCCACCTTTCAACAATTAGCACCATTGCACGAATGCGAAACATTCATTATTTGTTTTTTATATAACCGACATACAGATCCTTGTCATTTGATTGGTGGAACTCACATCACGTGGCATTCGTTTTTGCTCCCATTCATGCCGCGGCTCAAAAAGTACTTTCCGCCCATGGGCAATCCGCTGCTTAACAGCCGATTTTGTGCTTACCCAGCCTCCGTTTATGGCATAGAGGCCGTAAAGCCCGCCGCACACGAGAGCTACGTCCTGAGCAAAAAATCATTCGAGGCCGTTTGCTCAGCCCGAAGTTCACAAAATATCCCCGTGTTCGGTGATTTGTTTGCTCGCGAGGCCGTGAGGGAAATATCTATCCTTTTTGAATTCTTTTACCACGCGAGGTGAAAAACTCACCGTATGCGGTCAACCCGAGGTACCTTCTGAGCTAAAAAGATTATAGCCAATGAAATCACGTACTCTGTACACGTAATTTTCAGATATTTTTGTGCAAATCTTCTAAAGCCTGTTGGCGTTTGTCCCCATTTTTTAAATCACGCGACCGACAGACAAGAATAATGTGCTTTCATTGGTTACTTAATCTTTTAGCTCAGCCCGTAGCTCAATGCAGGTTGGCCGCTCACGGAAAGTTTTTAGCCTCGCGAGGCCAAATTTAACAAATCAAACAGGATAGATATTTGCCTCATGTCCTCGCGAGACAGAAAATTCAGCAAAAATTCACCGCACACGTTGAGCTACGTGCTATGCAAACGGCTCAAACGGCTTTTTGCTCAGCGCGTAGTGTAGCTGTCGTACGCGTGTGCGGAGGGGTTAAGCAGTAAGCACAGTAAAAGCATGCTTAAAACTCCTCCTGGATGGTATAGTTTTTCGATACCTTAATTACCGGTGTCACGGTCTCACTTCTCCGGCGTGCTAGCTTCCCGGCCCGGTTGGATTCGCTGGATAATTGAGCACGTTACAGTGCACGGTACATGAGCACGATACATGCTCATGAGTCCACTGTGTTTACTTTTCCTCGGGCTGTGTTGTGAGGTCTACCAAGTCCATTAATAACACAGTGAAGGACACCCAAGAATGAGTTATGTAACACTTCCTGTGGGTCAAGTCATTCCATGGTCTTGCAAGCATTCTGATTTGTGTTCCCAGTGTCATTGTACTGTCCTCCTTAAGGTGTATCTAACCAAAATTAGACAGCCAGCCAAACTCCTATCAAAGAACGACGAGGGAGTCAGGAAGTAGCGTCCAAGCTCCAAGTTTAATCGTCAATGAAAAAGGAGTGAAATTGTGTAACGAGAAGTAGAAAAAATGCACTAAGTAATGTGGCCTCATGGGCTTTGAATGCTTAAATGCACAGTTTAAAGTTGACTAAACACCACTAATCTTAAATCTCAAAACATGCAATAATTAAGAAAAAGAGTGGTAATAAATGTCAATGAGTGTATCTATCCTTTGAGTAAAAGATAATATCAGGGCAGTTTTAAAAGTTGAGCACATTTCAACTCCGGCGAATTTCGTAGCGAATGCTTCGTGACGTCAAATTCGCATCGCATGAAGTATGAACCGACCATAATACTTCACACGAATGCGAAACGAATTTGGAGTCATGAAACATTCGCTGCAAAATTCGCCGGAGTTCAAATGTGCTTACCTTTTGCGAAATCGCAGCGTTCGCATTCGCTTTGAGTATGAACCGGCCTGAAACAGAAGTTACTTCATGATGACGTCATAGGTATCAAATTACAAGTGAGTTTAGTTTAAATATGACAAGATTTATTCATTTATAACTCATGAACAAAATGAACATTCATGTTCGTACTTTGTTATATTATGGACCATACCTTGATAAACATTATTTTCTGATTTCCGAAAGTAAAGTTGCTTGACGGAAGGAGCGACATTAATTTTAGGGTAGGAAAGGTAACATAAGAACTGAAGCTGTACATGTGATCATAGTTAGATCTTGATAAGTCGAGTTTGTCAATATTAGTCTTGACAAAACGATTGTTAAGACCCAGAAATGCTCAATTTATGACGCCTTAACCCTCCTTCCCCACATATTAATCTGGTGACGCCGGTGTCCCCTCCCTTATCTCGACTAGAAGTCGCCATTGTGGGTGCGTACCAGACGGGTTACATCAAGGGTTACACGTACTCTGTGCAGAAAAACAGCACAGGGAGTAATCCGCTTTGGATTGTTTGTGCTGGTTTCAGGCATCAGTGAAACTATACAATGGTGATGGTTTATGGAAGTTCATTAATTTCTTGTCACCGGTGTTCCAGTTGATATTTTGGAGCTCACACAAGGCAGGAAGCAGGCAGTTAATCGTTGGGCCTCCTTTTGTGCATTTCCCCGGAATTGCTGCATTACAAATGAAAGCAGCTCGCATTTACGCGCCTCGCGCGAGCCTGGTGCCACCAGAAAAAAATGGCTGTTGCCGGATTAGTCTATATAATAGAATATATAGAGCTATATTGAATTACTAGAGTGCTAACTCGCTGTACAAAGTGAAGCCTGATGGGCGGATCCACGTTTGTGCACAAACAAATGGAAAACTCGAAATTCAGTACAGCTTTAGTACGGCTTGAAAAACGATCCCTTTACAACATGGCTAAATAGCGCCACTTCCGGGCCCATTTGCATCCACAATGCTCAGAATTGAAAGCCCCCAGTCCGGGCCACAGGTGCATTGCCATATCTCTTCAATTCCCCAATTCCATGGCTCTTAGAACTCCCTAGATCTAGTATAGAATAATTTGAGGGTAAAACTTTTATTCATGAGCCCGGCGGATGGATATTTGGCCTATTTACTGGTGTGCAAGCATAGGCTGTATTGAATTGCAAACTGAAGCCTGCTGGGAAACCTCGCTTCCATGGGAACGATCTTGCTGCGCCATGTTGTTTACCATCATGCCTTGCAGGATCGTAACCACTGGAATTGTCTCATTTAAATATGTCGAAAATTGGCACATTTAAACTAAGACTGCAGTCGATGTATCTACCGCGCGACGCCATGTTTAAAATGTTCAAAGTTGGTTTTTTGAAGAATCAATCCTTTCCAACACCAGGTTTCGACGTTGCGTTATTTAGCAAGGATTTGTATTAAATGTACATACCTCTTTCGTCCCTTTACAACCGAAGATACAGGTTCTTTTGGGCGAAAAAACGAGGCTACCATAATCCATATCGTACAGGCATCGCGCAAGAAAAAAAATGTTTACGCATGCTTGGACGTGACTTGATGTGCATAGCGCGCGAGCGCCCTATCCGGTTCGT